TCCCCCTCGTCCTCCTCTTCCTCCTCCTCCTCCTCCTCCTCCTCCTCCTCCTCCTCCTCTCCGCCTCCTGCGCCTACTCGTGCTCGCCGCCGCGGTCCGCCGCTCCGCGGCCACTCGGAGATTTTCCTGGACCTCCCTAGTTAAGTATAGGGTGTCGGCGCAGATGCGTTGGAGGATCGCGCCGCATCGCCGCTGCATCGGCGAAGTGGCTCGACGTGGAGCCCGATGTCTCCCGCGCCGACGGCGCCGATGCATGGGGCGACGTATCGCCGATGCATCTGTGATGTGGCGCGATGCTCCGACCACATCTTCTCGGTCCCTATTTCGGAGGCCTTGAACTGTTCGCGCGCGCGTTTTCCAGACACTAGTTTTTTCTGTTTGGGGGGGCACACGTCGGACACGAATACAGCATTCGCGCCCAGAGGCTCCAGTAGACGTATGGTTGCGAGGCGTGCTGTGCTGGCGTGCTGGCCAAGTCCCCGTCTCTGCTCGGGCTATTTGCTGCAGCTGACTCGTGCAGGGTGGAACGACATCCTTCTCCTCTTTCTCGTAGGTCAGCCGCCGAGCGAGGGCTCCTAGCGTCAGTCCTTCGCCTCTTTTCTTCTCTTCCTCTTCTCCCTCCTCCTCCTCTCCTCCTCCTCCTCCTCCTCCTCCTCCTCCTCCTCCTCCTCCTCCTCCTCCTCCTCCTCCTCCTCCTCCTCCCTGCTCTCCCAACACGGGGTGCCCTCCCCCCGCCGGCAGTCAGGAGAAGCTCATGGAGGACATTTGCAGCAGGTGCCCCGGGAGGAAGCAGTTCCCCATCCCCGCCACGGTGTTTCTTTGTGCCTTCCTCACTCCTCCTCCCCTCCCGACTCCCCGCTCTCCTCCTCGTCCTATTCTCCCCGTCTCTCCTTCTCACATCTCCTCATCCTCCGGCTGCAGCGTCTATACAGGCCTGGCTCGTTTTGTTTTCCGGAGGCTGAAGACAGGGAAAGAGAGAGAGAGAGAGAGACAGACAGTCAGTCAGTCAGACAGACAGACAGACATATCATAACCCACAATGATGGAGAGAGAGAGTGAGAGAGAGAGAGAGAGAGTCAGAGACAGAGTCAGAGACAAATGCAGACAGACAGACAGACAGACAGACAGACGGATCATAACCCAAAGTGACACCCCCACCCCTTGCCGCTACAGGGTTCAGGCAGTCTTGCCGAATGGGTGCCGCCACTGGGGGGTGGGATCTTGGGGAACGGCCCACGCTCGAGCGCCAGCTTCAAAGGCCGCCGAAAAATCACCCCCACCCCCCGTCCCAGCACCCCGCCTGCTAGGGATGATGGCGGGTGCCACCGTCGGGGGTGGGGGGGGTGTCCATTTGGATCATCAATGGACGGAGGGAGGGAGGGAGGGAGGGAACGAGAGAGAGAGAGAGTGAGGTACGTAGAGATATATCGAACACGTTCACATACAATAGCGCTGAGTCGTCCGCGTTCTCTCTCTCTCTCTCTCTCGTTGTCGTGTGTACATACCTATGCGTGTGTATGTAAGTATGCATGCATGCATGTATGTATGCATGTATGCATGCATGCACGTATGTATGTACGTATGCATGTACGTACGTATGTATGTATGCATGCATGTATGCATGCATGCATGTATGTGTGTATGCATACATGTATGCATGCATGTATGTATATCTGCATGTATGTATGGTTGTGTGTGTATGTATGCATGTATGTATGTATTTATGTATGTGTGTGTGGATGTATGTATGTCTGCAGGTATGCATGCATGTATGTATGCATGTATACATGTATGCATGTATGAATTTGTGCATGTATGTATGTAAGTATGTAAATGTGTACATATGCATGTATGCTGTATGTATGTAGGTAGGTAGGTAGGTAGGTAGGTAGGTAGGTAGGTAGGTAGGTATGTATGTATGTATGTTTGTATGTCTGTTTGCATGTATGTATATATGTATGTATGCATGTCTGTCTGTCTGTCTGTATGTATGTATGTATGTACGTACGTACGTACGCACGTACGTATGTATGTACGTGTGTATATGTGTGTGCATGGATGCATGCATGTATGTAAGTAGGTAGGTAGGTAGGTAGGTAGGTAGGTAGGTAGGTCGATATGTATGCATAATATACATACAATAGAATGAATGTGTGGCCCTCCGCACGCGCCATGGTACCCCTTGTGCGTTTCATCTACGATTCCCCATGTACGCAGCGCGCGGTTCTTGAGCTCTTTTCTGAGACACGTGCTCGAAGCTCTCTGCTCGGCACAGTCCCCGTCTCCAGCACTGCGCCAGCCAGTCCACAGCCTCCGCCTCCAGCACAGCACCCATCCGCCGAGAGCCGCCATCTCCAACGCAGCACCCACGACTCCATGGTGCCCGTCACCCGGCAGCCTCCATCACCGGCGCACCTCCTGCTGGTCTGCAGCCTGCGCTGCCCAGCCACCGCCCCCGTCGGCTGTCCGCCTCCGCCCGCCCGCCCGATGTGCCCGTCTCTCCAACATACACGCTTTTTGCTTCGGCAGCTAGGCGGAGGGACTGCTCTGGCGAAGTGGCATTCGTGGGACGCGCATCATGCGAATTAAGCCGCAATTCGCGGGAGGGAGAGAGAGGAAGCCCGGCGCGGGCGGGAGGGAGGCACCCCCCCCCCCCCCCCCAACACACACACACACCACACCACACACCACACACACACACACACCACACACACACCACACACAACACACACACACACACACCACACACACACACCACACACACACACACACACACACACACACACACCACACACCCACACACACCACACACACACACCCACACACACACACCACCCACACACACCCACATGCGCACACGCAGCGCACGCGCACGCGCACGCGCACGCGCACACACGCAACACACGCACACACGCACACACACGCACACACGCACACACGCACACACGCACACACGCACACACGCACACACGCACACACGCACACACGCACACACGCACACGCACACACACGCACACGCACCACACACGCACGCACGCACGCACGCACGCGCGCGCGCGCACGCACGCACGCGCGCGCGCGCACGCACGCGCGCGCACGCACGCGCGCACGCACGCACGCACGCACGCACGCACGCACGCACGCACGCACGCACGCACGCACGCACGCACGCACGCACGCACGCACGCACACACACACACACACACACACACACACACACACACACACACACACACACACACACACACACACACACACACACACACACTCACACACATACACACACACACACACACACACACACGCACGCATGGGTGGCTCAAACACGCGCTCTCACCCACCCGCGTTCCCACATGCTCCCGTGAGCCTTGTGCGGAGTCGCGCGGTGCAGGTGCGCCCCATCACGCCACCCGGAACCGATTGATAGCTTTCCACGCCGAGACAGCGCGCACACAGCACGGGCTGCACGCAGCGCCAGCTGCAGCGCCGTGGTTGTCTTGCGTCGCGTGTGTTTGTGCGCAGGTTGGCTCTATCAGTGCGGGGAAGGGGCCAGTCCTGGTGGTTGGGTGCTTTCAAGGGCGGCGTGCGGGGTGCGTATTTTGGTGTTGGGTGGCTGCACAGCGGACCGTGCCCCACCCACGTACTTCCCCCTCACCCACCGCCGCCTGCATCGTTTGCCTTGGCGCGCGGTTTGGGTTGAGACGGTGCGAAGATACGGCGTCCCGCATTAGGCATTAGGCGGGGGAACGAACGAACACACACGCACACACCTACACACATACACGCATACACACACACACACACACACACACCGCGCACGCACGCACGCACGCACGCACGCACGCACAAACGCACGCACGCACGCTCGCACGCACGCACGCACGCGCGCACACACACACCACAACGCACCACAACACCACAATACCTCGGAGCCCACAGGGCGGTTTTTCATGTTTTCCAGGCCGCGCGTCGAACGTTTTCGATGGCGCGTCGCGTTATGCGATGTCACGTGCGTTGGAGATTTTCTCTCTCTCTCTCTCTCTCTTTCTCCTTCTCTCTCTCTCTCTCTCTCTCTCTCTCTTTCTCGAGAGAGAGAGAGAGAGACCGATCCACACGCTTGTGGAGATTCTCGTTGCCGCGGCCGGACGCGGCCGCGGTCGTCTCGGGGGCTCTCGGGGGCTCCCCTGCAGCTTCCCGCCTGCACGGCGTCGGGCCCGGCTGCCTGTGTTGCCGCCAGCGCTGATGAGGCGGTGGCCAGCGCTGAGGGCGGTGGACCCGCTCTCGGCGCAGAGGGTCCCATGCCAGATTTCGCCAGGATGTGTATATGGGGGGGCGTTTGGTGGGTGTCGCGTTCGGGGGGTAGTGTCCAGGCCGTCGGGAAGAGCTCAAGTAGTTTCGGATGCAATTCCTGGGGGTCGAATTCTGATTCGGCCTAGCTGGTGGCACAATCCCGCTTAATCTGGTTAAATATTGCTAATTCCGCTGAGTCTTGCTTAGTCCCGCTTAATCCGCGGCCTAGTCTGGCGAAGCAACCCCCCACTCGGGCTTAATGCTCCTTAGTCCTTCCGACGGAGACCTCCTAGTAGTTGCCTCCTAAAGTGGCCAGAGACCCTCGGAACGATGACGACGCCGTCGTCGTCGCCGCCGCCCAGGTACGCACCCGGCCTCGGGCCGGATGGCTTCTCGCCGCGCTCGTCGCGGGGGTCGGAGAACCCGTCGCCTGCGGACGTCGGGAGGTGGGGTGGGGGACGAGGGGGAGTGGGAGGAGGAGGAGGAGGAGGAGGAGGAGGAGGAGGACGAGGAGGAGGAGGAGGAAGAGGAGGAGGCAAAATATAGGAGGGAGGAGGAGGAGGAGGAGGGCGAGAGGAGGGAGGAGGAGGGTAGAGAAGAAGGAGGAACGAGGGGGAGAGATGCGGAGGGAGGAGGAGGAGGAAGAGGAGGAGGAGGAGGAGGGAACGGAGGAGGAGGAGGGAACGGAGGAGGAGGAGGGAGGAGGGAGGCAGGCAGGGAGGGAGGGAGGAGTTGCTGCGTCTCCTTCCTCCTCCCAGCTCCTCGCTGACCCTCCTTTCCTGCCTTTTGATCCTTGTTGCATCCTACCTCCGACCTGCATCCCACATCATACCTGCCTCCTGCCTCGCTTTTTTTAGCTCTCGAGAGGTCCAGCGGACTGCGGTCATGCGCAGATCCAAAGTATTATTCACCTGAGGTTTAGCGGATTGTGATCCTACGCAGGTCCGAAGTTTTCCTTTCATGTTTCCCCGCAAATTGCGCAGCTGTCGCCACTTTCGTGAGTCTCCCGGGAGATCCAGCGGAGAGCAGTCCTCACGCAGGTCCGAACTATTAGTCCCTTCCCTGGGCGCTGTCCACTGCGCAGTGATCGAGTCGTGGGCTTCTGGAGGATGTACCGCAGTGGTGCACCACGCAGATCCGATTGGGACCTCGCATCAAGAATCGGTGCCAAATGCGCAACTGACACCACCTCCGTTAGCGCCTTGGAGGTCCCAGCGGAGAGGTGCTCCACGCAGAGCCAGACGCGATGCCGCCTGCCAACTGCGCACGCGCCACCGCTTCCGTGGGCTCCTCGGAGGTGCAGCGGGCAGGTCCACTCCGCCAGCCTGCTGTCCTGTCTCCGGGGTTGGTGTGGCTACGAGTATGGAGAAGAGATCGGTGAGGGTGGGCGACAGTCAGCAGTTGAGTATACGGCTACCTTCATGTTCTTACGTTTTGCTTCAAAGTCGCCTCACTGAAGTTTCTCACGTGTAAACATTGGCTTTCGCATCATGGTCCGTCGGTGCCGCCAGACATACCGCGCAAACTACAGGCCAGTCAATATTTCTACTGCTTTGACGTAATGTTGGATTCTCTCGACTCTAGGTTCATCTCTCATTGGTTTGCTGCACTGTCCCTGACGCAAGCTTCCAGGACACACTATCGTGCACAAGCCTCATGCGCCTACTGTTCACGGCTAGGCAGAGCCAGCCTAGCAGGGTGACGAGTCTCATACGCAGTGTCTACGCAAGCCTTTTAATTCACACGGTGCATGTCAGGCCCCCTTTGTACAAAGTGTGGGTGGCCCACAGTTTAGTTCGACAACACAGTCCACAGTATAGTCCGACAGTACCAGCTTATTGTCCTGCCTGTCTTTGGGGCTGGAGTGGCTCCGAGCATTGATGGGGTCGTGGTTGGGGGCGGGTTATTGCTCACATCAGACCGCAGTCGCACATCTTGTTGCTTAGCAGATGAAGCTTACACAGTAATATTAAACCTTCTGCAAAGGCCTTTACGCATGGCCAGCCTCAATAAGTTGGTTAACGTGGCACGATGAAGCCTTACTTGCTTTCTTTGTGGTGCTCACCTACCTCCACTCGCGCGTGCTTGACCTAATTCTGCATGCCTCTATTCTCAGCTGGAAATACGTTGGCTACAGTGAGTTGCCATTTTGGTACGCCGGTAAGGGGAATGACCTGGCACTCCCCCTGCGTGCTTTCCGACCACAGTTGCCCAGTATGCAGCCTTCCCCTCAGCAAGTCAGTTGCCATTTACCTTGACATTGTCACTCAGGTTATTAGGGTTCGTGCTAAATCACAAACATTCAAAACGCGTGGGTCCCGCGGTCCTGGAGGCTAGGGGTGAACCGCAAAACCTTGAGTAGCAGCCCAAGAATTGCCGCAATGTTTGCACCCTCTTTTTGCTGTTCACTTTATGGTCTTGGCCTCAACCACCCCGGACTCCACACCCAGTTTGCGTCTACCCCGTGCCAGCTTGAGGCTGGTCAGCTCCCTTGCCAGCGCAGCAATTTCTGCTCGAGCTCTACTCGAGCAGGATGGATGGAGGATGGGCGGGATGTGGTGCGAAGGATTTTTAAGCTTACATTTATTCCGCCCCCCCCCCTGTGATTTACATGGAGAGACCTTACTTCATCGCTCGTCCACAGGCATTGACCCTACCAGGGGGCACGGTCAGCACGTCAAGTACACAGGCCCGCATTCTACAGTGCCCAGCCTTCGGAACGCAGTCCCTGCCAGTAGTACCACCACGTCTTACCGTGCACGCCATTCGCACGTTTCTATGCTATACTTTGCCGCGGGTCCGAGCTGCTTCACTATATCTCGCTCTCACGTCGCCCGTGCTGCACGCTTTGATCTGAAGTGCTGCACGCATGGACCTATAGATTTAGGAGGTGGGCTATTCGAGGAGCGGGGGGGAGGAAGGGATATCACGTTAACACCAGGCACTGCAGTTTCTACCGCATGCCAGGCAAATGCTCTAAGGCCCTGTGCTGTTCTGCTCTTGCTGCACGACTTTGCCAGTTACGTCCGGCAGGCTAATTTCTTTTTACTCGCTCCACTAAGTCGGCGGTTTGTTCTTGCATTAGAGCGCGCCAAGCTTCCGCTTCACGCGTGGGCAACCGAAAAAAGGAGGGCCACCAAGGGGTGGGGGGGGGAGGGGCGTGGGCGTGTATGAGGCAAGGTGTTGGGGTTGGGTGTAGGGGTGGAGGACGAAGAGAAGGCGTGGTGGGGAGGAGTGGTCGGAGGTGGTGCGCCCGCCGCCGCAGGACAGCAGCGACGGCGTCGAGGCCTCAGAGAGGCCCGGCGCCGGCGCGGCGCGCAGGGCGAAACCGCAGCTGGTGAGCGATTTCCTGCTGTCCGTGCGGCGGGCCTCGACGGAGCCGACGACGACGTCAACGCCGAAGATTTCGCCGACGACCACGCCGACGGCGACGACGACGCCGACGCCGACGACGACGGCGACGACGACGACGGCGACGACGACGGCGGCGGCGGTGGCGGGCACGACCTGGACGACGCCACCGACGACGCCACCGACGACGACCACCGCTTCGACGTATGCGCGTGCACTTGCGCAGACGGCGAAGCCGACGCCGCGGACGACGGCGACCTCGGGGCCAGGGTGGCCCGGGGAGCCGCGGCGAGGGCTCCCGCGGGGCGCAGGAGGCCCCAGGAATTCGGCGGGAGGGCTGCGGTAGGCCAATGAGGTCCGGGAGTTCGGCGCCGTCGACGTCGACGTAGGTGGTACAGTCGTCAGTGTCGTCGTCGTCGTCTTCGTCGTCCGCCTCGTGCCTCTCCCTGTCGTCCTCCTGCAGTTCCAGCCTCCGCCTTCTGCTCGCCGTACTGGCAATCTGATGGTGGAGCAGCCAGAGGCGGAGGAGGACTCGCGGCCACCTCTCTCACATGCATGCGCACCGCCACACGCCATTCTCTCTTTCGCCTTGCGTGGCCATGGGGCTGGGGCGGGTGAGTCAATGGAACACCCTGAGTGCGTAGAAAAGCTTGGGGGCGGCCAGCCGCTCGCCCTGCCCTTCCTCCGCCTCCTCCTCTTCCTCCTCCCCCTCATCCATCCTTCTCCTCCTCCTCCTCCTCCTCCTCCTCCTCCTCCTCCTCCTCCTCCTCCTCCTCCTCCTCCCCCTCTCCTCCTTTTCCTCGTCCTCCTCCTCCTCCTCCTCCTCTCCTCCTCCCCTCCCTCCTCCTCCTCTCCTCATCCTCCTCCTTCTGCTTCTTCTCCTCCTCCTCCTCCTCCTCCTCTCTCCTCCTCCTTCTTCTTCTTCTCCTCGTCCTCCTCTTCCTCCTGCTCCTCCTCCTCCTCCACCTCCTCCTCCTCCTCCTCCTCCTCCTCCTCCTCCTCCTCCTCCCTCCTCCTCCTCCTCCTCCTCCTCCTCCTCCTCCTCCTTATCCTCCTCGTTCTCTTTCTCCTCCTCTTCCTCCTCCTCCTCCTCCTCCTCCTCCTCCTCCTCCTTATCCTCCTCCTCATCCTCCGCTCCATCCCATTTCCTCCGGAAGGAGGGGGGAAGGTCGGAGGAGGAGGAGGAGGAGGAGGAGGAGGAGGAGGTTCAGGAAGCAGGACGGGGCAGGAGACACGACGGAGGCAGGAGGCGGCAGGCAGGATTGGGGCAGGAGGAGGCTGGAGGCAGGAAGCGGGGGGGCGGGGAAAAGGAGGAGGACGAAACAGGAGGCAGGAAGCAGGAGAAGGGCGGAGGGGGGGGGGGGCATACACTGGATTCCCAGGAGAAGGACGAGCGTCGCGTGTCGGTGGAGGACGGCGCGACGGCGCCACGCGAGGGCGGCAGGGGCTCCAGGAACTGGCCACACGTAGGAGTGACCTTAAGCAAGAGTGACTTTTGGTGCGGACACACTCGGGTCCCCAGATGATTGAACGCGATGCGGTACCAGCGTCTTGGGCGCTAGAGTTTGGCCTCCCCGCGCTCTCCGAAAGTCGCGCGCCAACGGTCAATCTTGTCCAGGGCCATTCGTGCGTGTGGAGGCAACCCGCGCAGGAAGGACGAGCAGCTCCACACGCTGACCCTTGCATCCTTCCCCGTCAGCCCATCCTTGGTCACGCCCCGCTGGCCGCGCCCCGCTCGCAAAGTGCATCCTTATCCCACGTCTCTTGCCCTCCTCCCCCTCCTCCTCCTCCTCCTCCTCCTCCTCTTCCTCCTCCTCCTCCTCCTCCTCCTCCTTTTCCTCCTCCTCCTCCTCCTCCTCCTCCTCCTCCTCCTCCTCCTCCTCCTCCTCCTCCTCCTCCTCCTCCTCCTCCTCCCTCCCCCTCCCCCTCCTCCCCCTCCCCCTCCTCCTCCTCCTCATCCGCCCCGCTGGCATGGCCTTCCAGGGCTCTTGCATCCTTCTCGCACGTCCGTATTTTACGGGTTTGACTGCAGCCAACAGGAACACCTGGTCCGCGGCGTCGGCGCCCTCCCTGCTGGCGGGCGCCGGCGACGCGGGCGCCCTGAAGCGCTCGAGGACCCTCGAGACGCGGTGCAGCAGCGAGCACCAACCGAGCGCCGCCTCGGTGCCGGAGGACGAGGATCGCACGGGCGATGGGCCAGCCTTTCTCCTCCTCCTCCTCCTCCTCCTCCTCCTTCTCCTGCTCCTGCTCCTCCTCCTCTCTGCGACGTTAAAACGTACGACCAGGAGGCAACACGCGCTGCAGGGTGGGGAGTCGGCATCGGCGGCCCTAGTACCAGCACGCAGATCACAGAGGGGGTCGAATGGTAAGAAGCCTGCCCGCTTGCGCCCGCCAGACAGCCAAGCAGTACTGTGTCCAGCTGCAGGGTGCCGAAGGGCACTCAGCAGCAGCAGCAAGGTGATCAGGCGCCCGCCAGCTTGCCAAGCAGCACTGTGCCCAGCTGCAGGGGGCCGAAGGGCACTCAGCAGCAGCAGCAGCAGGAGGGATGTCTGATCCGCACAAGTTTGAGCTTTCAGTGGGCATGCCGATGTTGCCAGGCCCTCGCGTGCAGCCACCTCGGGGCCCATCGATTTTCTGGCGGGGTGATGGGCCCCCCCCCCGAGCCAGCGAGGAAACGTCGTGTTCACGAACGGATCGGGGAGGTGGTCTAACCGGCCGGAAATACGCAGCTGCGGATGGGCTTTCGTCCAGATGTTTGATGCAGGGCCCCCATTGCGCGCCTGCTACGGGCGGCTAGCGGGGCCGAGCCAGACCGTCGGCGAAGCAGAGAGGGTGGCGATGCTGCGTGCGTTGCAACAGCTACCGTCTGTGGAGATAGTGGTCACGGATCTCCTTCGCCTTGCTCAGGACCTGCACGAATGGAGTTCGGTCGCCACCAGTTCAGCAGGCAAGCGTGCGTCAGTGTGGACACAGATCCACGCTGTTGTCGAGTCTCCGGGAGGGGCCCGCCCTGTTGCGCATTGGTGCCCCGCCCATATGGACCCCGATTGCGCTGTTTGCCCCGGGCCCGAGCGGGGCCCCCTTTTTTTGTTACGTCTTTGGGAACGCCTGGGCCGATTACTTTGCCAAGCTGGGGGCGTCGCGTGACTCGGTTGGCCGCGGGGCGGCTGATCTGCATAGGTTGGCCCTGAAGGAATCGCAGGATTTCTCGCGTTTTTGTTGGCCTGGGCTGGGGGGCGCCTCATTGAGCTTGGTCTGTGCTCGTCGGAGTCGTTGTCGGAGGATGCTAGACCGAGAGCCCCCCAGCCCGAGCTGCGCGCGCCTGTCGTTTCTATTTCTAGACCTGATGGCCACCGCCTCTGGCGCGGCAAGACCGGAGGAGAGTGGCGATGTCAGGCGTGTGGCACCTTCGCCAGAGCGGAGACTTGGCTCCGCTCTCTTGCCTCCGTTGCCACCCGTTGCCGTCCTGCCCCGTTCGACCTCTGGGAAGCGATTGGGGTTTTTGGGCGGGGCCCCAATGATTGGGAGCTGGTCGTGTCCGAGGGGGCTCGCGCGGCGCTTGGGGCGGCCGGCAGGCCGCTTGAGGAGTCTGCCCTGGAACCCGAGGGCTCGGCGGAGGAGGCTCCCGTGGGGCCTGGCGGAATGGGGCTCTTGGGCGCTGACCCCTTCCGATGGAGGGCCTGGCGCTGTGGGGGCGGGTGGCTCTGCTTCGGGGGAGAGGTCGGCCTCGGCGGCGGTCGCCGATCGCGCCTCGGGGCCTGGGCCGCCGTGCGGTGGGGCCCCGTCGGATCCCCCTGGGATTCGCGCGTGGGGTTCTGGGTGGCGGGGCCCTGCGGCCTGGGCCCTGCTCCACGACCGCGGCCATCGGATGGCCGATGTCAACGGCGTCGCTTTCTGCGAACGCGGGCAAGGTGGTGGCCCTCAAGCGGCCCTGCAAGGGCCCCTCGGACCGCCCCCCGACCCTAGCTGTGCAGAAGCACCCTATCAAGAGGATGCGGGAGGGCAAGCCGCCGCGATAGCGCCTCGGTTGTCGGCCCCCCCCCCCGCCTCACCTCTTTTCTCTTAGAGTTTACGTTTGGGCGACTTGGACTCACTCTTGTTTGTCTCTCGTTTTTCTTTGTTTCCTTCTCCTCCTCCCTCTCCTTCTTCTCCTCCTCCTCCTCCTCCTTCATCTTCTCCTCCTCCTTTTTCTCCTCCTCCTCCTTCACCTCCTCCTCCTCCGCCTCATCCCTTCCCCTCCACCTCCCTCCCCATCCTCCTTCTCCTCCTTATCCTCAATCTCCTCCTCCTCCGACGACGACGACGGCGACGACGGCGGAAACGACGGCGACGACGATTACCCCGGGGGTGGGGGCTTGTCACCTGTTCTCATGGTGTCAGCGCCACGCACTCCTCGGGGCACGCCGTCAGTGTTGAGTGTATGCGGCGATTGGTGCCACTTCAACCGGCTCGCGCTTTTTTGGTAGCAGCCATGTGGCATCCGTGGCAGCGGAGAGCCACGTTCCGTGACCTGGAGGTGGGTACCAGGCACGGGTGATTGCGCATTCGGTTGAAAGGCGAGGCCATGTGGCCCGCAAGTCCCATGGTGCCTTCGTGCCCCCCGCTCACCCTGAAGAGCAAATCCAGTTGCGCATGCCAGCTTATCGATCAGGGGTTGATCGTCGGGAAATTCTTCGCAATGGCGAGGTGAACCGGCCGTCCCCCTACGCACCACGCCCTCTCGGCTGGAGGTAAGCCGCTGGGCGACGAGGTAGCTGCCGATCCCCTGTTCGTCGGAGCGCGCGCCCTCGGGCCCGCTTCCTCCTGTAAAGGGGGGCCGGGGGTGACGGTGCCGGTTGCCTGCCATTGCGGCCCGCCTGCGGTGCGGCGTGCACCGCGCGCTTCGTGGATCCATGATTCCATGATTCCTCCGACTGGGATCTGCCCTGGGACCTCCCCGGCGGCGCCTCTGGTACCGCCCCTGGCGCGCGCCGCGCCGAAAAGAACGCCGCGCTCCAGGGAGGGGGGCTTCAGCTCGAGTAGCGGATTGACTACGGAAAAGCTCAATCCTAAAATTCATTGACCGTCGAATCTACGAAACACACGTGGGAGGTTTGCCCCGTAGATTGACCGACTATTCTGCATCTTTTCCACGGGGTCGACGGACGAATCGAATTAGGGGTTCGTCAATTCTGTAGCCGATCCTCATTCGATCAGCGCCGATCCAAAAGGTCCGCGCGGAACTCCGAAAGCTCACGTTGGTGCCATTGTTTTTTGCTGTGCTGGCCGTCCCGCCCGCCCGCGCCGCGGCGGGCCTGTGGAGGGCCCCTGTGGTCCCCCTCGCCGGTCTGCCGAGCCCGCCGAGGATGCAAGCGGATGTAGATCCACACGCCCGGCGTCTCGAAACAATGGAGGCGGATATTGTTATTTTTGTTTGTTTTTTTTTCGGCGCCCTTAACCAGGCGTCTGCTGCCCTCGGGGCTGCCCTGACATCTGCAGCCAACCCTCCTCCTCGCCGTGGCTTCGGTGGCCCTCTTGAGCTCCCGCTTCCATCGCAGACATGCGATGTCTTCATTTTTGTCCGCGCGGGGGCCCCAGACATCACCTTTTCTTCGGCACCAGCTTTTCATCGCGACTCGTCACTTAATGACTCCGGGGACGGGTGAGGACTCCCAGGGGTCGAAATGGGAAAAGCCTCGCGTGTTGTTCCCGGAAAGGGCTCCGTCCCAGGGTTTTTTTTTAGTAGGTAAACCTGTCCCCATTGCCACGCGGGAGGTGGGCCGGCGGAACTATTTCCTGGTAATTTTCGAGGTCGAGGCGGGCCGGCGGAATTAATTGCGAGGATGTCTCGAGCGAAACGCTTGTTTTTCAGAATTTGTTGAGGATGTCTCGATCGAAACGCTGGTTTTGCAGAGTTGGGGGATTTCTCGAGGGAAACGTTTGTTTTCAGAATTTGTTCAGGATTTCTCAAGCGAAACGCTGGTTTTGCAGAGCCGACCGCGACGCGGAAAAGCGCCTCGCGCGCAGGAATTCCGAGGATGTCTCGCGCGTGCCGCGTCCCGCGCGCAGGCATTTCGAGGATGTCTCGACTAATTCGTTTGTTTTTCATTATTTGTTGAGGATGTCTGTAGCGAAACGCTGGTTTTGCAAAATTGGGGGGTGTCTCGAGCGGGGGCCTCGTGGGGGGGCAGAATTCAGAGGATGTCTCGGGCGAAACGCTTGTTTTCACGTCCCGCTCGTAGGAATTTCGAGGATGTCTCGCGCGTGCCGCGTCCCGCGCGTAGGAATTTTGAGGATGCCTTTTCTAATTCGTTTGTTTCGCTCGGATTTCTTTGGATTTTGACCGGATGTCTCGAGCGAAACGCTTGTTTTCTATAATTTAGTGAGGATGTCTCGAGCGAAACACTGGTTTTGCAAAATTGGGCGATGTCTCGAGCGGGGGCCTCGTGGGGGGCTAGAATTCAGAGGATGTCTCAGGCAAAATGCTTCTTTTCACGTCCCGCTCGCAGGAATTCCGAGGATGCCTCGCGCGTGTCGCGTCCCGCGCGTAGAAATTTTGAGGATGTCTCCACTAATTTGCTTGTGTTGCTAAGATTTCTTCGGATTTTGACAGGATGTCTCGAGCGAAACGCTTGTCCCCAGCACGTTCCGTAGCGCGTCCCCTTGGCACGTCCCGCGGTGCGACCCCATGGCACGTCCCTTGGCACGTCGCTTGGCGCGTCCCTTGAGACGTTCCGCGTCGCGTTCTCCAGGCATGTCCCCCTGTCAATTAGCTCTGGGGCAGCTACTATGTGTTCAGGCTGCTCGAGCTTAAGATCCAGATCAGTTCGGTCAGGACTCGGATGCAAAGGAGGACTCGATCCACGACGCTATAGAGCACAATCGCGCCATGGCACATCGCAGTTCAGCACGGCGCAGCACAGCACAGATTTCGGCACGGTACATCAAGATCGATACACTCAGCATTGCACTTGCCCGTCACCCAATCAGGTGTCTTTGAAAACGCTGCCATGCGCTTACACTTCTGTATTCCTTTCCGGCTTCGTGGGTCGATCATGCTTTTGCTCACGAAGCGGGCACGTTTGGTATCCTTTTCCTCCCCGGGGTCGAGTGAGTGCTCCCAGGGGTCGAAGATGGGGAAAGAAAGCCTCGCGTGTTGTTTTTTTCACGACGCGGGCACGTTTGGTATACTGTTCCTCCCCGAGGAGGAGGCCCCCAGGCGCTGCGCCGAAACCGCCGCGCTGGGCGGCCCCAGGCGCCGGCCGAGCCCGCAGCTCCCCGCCGTGGGCCCCCCCGACGACGGCGCGGAGGACGCGCCGGCCGCCCGGGCCAGGGCGCCGGACGCGGGCACGGACATGAGCCCGCTCAGGGGCCCGAGGTGGTGCAAGCAGAGGTCGGAGAAGGAGAGGAGGAGGAGGGAGGAGGATCGGGCGAAGAGAGCTATGCACATGCACCGATCCTGGCAAGGCCCATCCTCGACCCAGGTTCGGTGCATATGCTTTCCTGGCCACGGCAGGAGGGCATATGCACCGATCCTGGGCTCAGGATGGTCCTGGCAAAAATCGGTGCATGTGCATAGTTCTCTTTCCTCCAGGAGGAGGAGGAGGGAGGAGGAGGAGGAGGAGGAGGAAGGAGGAGGGAGGAGGAGGGAGGAGGAGGTGGAGGAATATGAGGAGTTGGTTCACTGGTGTGTTGGTAGATTGGTGCATTAAGGTGGAGGTACGTTTGGACCCCTCCCTGCAGCCGTCTTCGTTGGCCGAGGGGCTGCAGGGAGGTCCTCGGCCCCCTCCATTGGCTATTGACGCCGTAAAATATTAGTGTATTGGTGTATTGGTGGGAGAGGGCGACCCCCGCGGCCCCTCTGATGGCAGCCGCAGGGGGTGTGAGGCCTATGATGGTCCTCACTGGTGAGGCCTATGATGGTCCTCACCGGGGTGGGGGTGGGGGAAGAGGGCAGAAAGTCGAAGCGGATGTCCGGCAGCAACGTCCTGGGGGGATACCTGAAAAGGGGACTTAAAAGCAACGTCTGTCCTCCGCCTATGTTCCAGAGGAGCCCCGTTCAAAAAGCAGAGGCAGAGAGAGAAACGGAGAGAAGAGAGAGAGGGAGAGAGAGAGAGAGAGAGAGAACGAGGCAGAGACGAGGACAAAACGGAGAGAAGAGAGAGAGGGAGAGAGAGAGAGAGAGAGAGAGAGAGAGAGAGAACGAGGCAGAGACGAGGACTAATGTGCACGCCTCGGGGGGGGTCGGCCCCCCGACCCGGAAGATACGAAATACACAGATTTCGTATCACAAGGTAGCTGGCAGCGACGCTGCATCATGGCACCCTGGGAGCGCGCAGCGGCAGGGATGCACCACCTGGAGTGCGAAAGCGACACGTGGTGACGTCAACCCGGCCGAAGCCCAGTGACCAGAGGAGGCCCCCAGGAGGCCGACAAGGGTCACAGGCCAGAGGAATCCACGACCTGTAACCCCCCCCCCGCGGGCGCGATATATTTTCTCCGACAGCATGGAGGGACTGGTACTCCCAACAGCACATAAATCCGACAGCGGATAGGCCGGTACACCCAAAGAACATGGATGGATCGGTACACCCAAAGGCACGTATTGGCTTTATCCCATGGGGTGGAGTACCCGCAGGGGCATACGCCCGTAACCCACGACGCACACACACACACGACACACACACACACACACACGCACACACACACACACACACACACACACGCACACGCACACGCACACGCACACGCACACGCACACGCACACGCACACGCACACGCACACGCACACGCACACGCACACGCACACGCACACGCACACGCACACGCACACGCACACGCACACGCACACGCACACACGCACACACGCACGCACACACACGCACACACACACACACACACACACACACACACACACACACACACACACACACACACACACACACACACACACACACACACACACACACACACACACACACACACACACACACACACACACACACACACACACACACACACACACACACACACACACACACACACACACACACACACACACACACACACACACACACACACACACACACACACACACACGAAACACACACACACGCACACGCACTCGCACGACCACGCACCCCGGGGGCACACGACGAAAAAGACACAGCAAGAAGAGGACGCCTCGAACCTCGGAGCTGCGGCCAAAAGTCCTGACGGGGGCACCTGAAACGGGAAACCTGAAAAAAGAAAGCGGCCTGACCGGGGGACCTGAAGCCGAAGGAAAGCGACAGGGGGGGACGATCCAAGGCGGCCCCTGGACAGCTCTCGGCGAGGGCCGCTGCTCCGGACGTGTAGATTGGACGGCGGCTATACCCATCCTTAAAGAAAGGCGTGGGGGGGGAGGAGGAGGAGGAGGGGGGTAGGCCCAGCCACACACCTGCGCCCCAAGTGGCAGACGGAGGTGGCTGGGAGGGTTTTACATATCCGTCCTTGGAGAGCTCGGCTTAAGGGCGGGGAGCGGGAACGACCTCAAGAGTGACGCCGCGGCGGAACATGTGACACCGCGGCGGCACGGGTCGAACCGTCACCCTTGGTGCACTGGTGTACTGGGTTGGCAACTGACGCCACAGAGTAATAGATTACTGACATTGACAGGCACCGTCAGCCGGCAGGGGATAAATCCCGTTCACGGCCCCATGGAGGAATATGAGGAGTTGGTTCACTGGTGTGTTGGTAGATTGGTGCATTAAGGTGGAGGTACGTTTGGACCCAGAGGAAGAAGCGACGGTCAGTAGCATCAAGCGAGGAAGAGGAGGAGGAGGTGGAGGAGGAAGAAGCGACGGTCAGTAGCATCAATGGAAGAACCCAGAAGTCGGGGGTGGACAGACCTACCCTGACACGTCGATTAGGGAAGTGGCCGTTTTCGGTTCGCGTGAGGGCGTCGCGGCCGTCGTTTTTGTGGGTCCAGGTCCGTCGGTTTCGGTCCCAGGCCGTTTTAACTAAGGGGAGGTTTGCTAACGGGAGGTTTGTCCACCGCCGACAATGGAAGAACCCAGAAGCCTCTTGGAGGGGGCCCAAGTGGGAAGGGCCAGAGGCACTAGGGGCAGGGGGCCTGTGCGGCAGATAATGTCGAAGCAGACCGCCCAGATTTATGATCCTTGATGCAAAGACGGGGGCCCCAGTGAGGCCACGTCTGCGCTATGTTATTAGGTTCAGGGGGTTCTTTTACACTTGATGGATAGAAGTCAGAACAGCCCCTGCCCCTAAAAGCAGAGTGGAGACGTTGCTTCACTTGGGTCCCCGTCTTTGCATGAGGGATGATACTTTCGGGCGGATTGGTGTGACACCTCTGCAGAAAAGACCCCCTATCCCTAATGTCTCTGGCCCTCCTAATCTAATCCCCTCCCACAGGGTTAGGGATGGAGGGTTTCTCCGAAGGGCTTAGGCGACCCGTCTTCCTCCTCCTCCTCCTCTTCCTCCTCCTCCTCCTCTTTCTCCTCCTCCTCCTCCTTCCTTCCTTCTCCTCCTCCGCCTCCATCTCCTCCTCCCCCTCCCTCTCCTCTACCTCCTCATCATCCTCCTCCTCGGGTCGCCTACGGCCCCTGGGGGAACCGTGCAGTCAGGAGTCCTTTCACTGCCGGTCAGGCCGTGGCGAGCAGCCACGGGGGAACCATACATTGCAACTACCCAGGCGCCCTCGGGCCAGGGAAACATCATGACGGGAGGTTGTTTCTGTTTTGTCGGATCTTTTGGGTGCCGCGTCTGGAACATCAGCGCTGTCGCGTGTCAAATGTTCAAGGTCGCCGATGGCCCACGTCTTCGGCACGGCTCCTTGGCGAATGCGTGTAATGCCCGCCCCTGGTCAGGAGCGACAGGAGGACGCATCAAGAGCGAGCGAAAGACGTGCACGTGCACGAGTCCACGCGGGTTTCGGGAGTACGCATCGCGCGAACGTTCGTATCACGAGGCTGGTCTCGCGGCCTCGGGGGTCAGATTCGTGTACGTGGTCAGGCGCGCACGTTTTCTCCTGGGCTCCCCAGCGTACACGTGCATGAACCCACGTCGGTTTCGAAGGCGCGTCCTGCGCGAGCGTGCGTGACACGAGGCTGGCCTCGCGGGCTGGGGGGGCAATGCGCATGTACGTGGCGGGGCGCACGCGTCTGCTGCGGGCCCTCGAATTGCCTGGGCTGCGGTAGAGAGTCCCATGGCTAAGGAACGCCCTGCTTGCCTCCAGGGTGCCCAGGGCGTCGTGGGTCTCGATAATAGCTTTTTGCCATGGAGGGCGTGACGCTCCCACGCCAGAGATCGATGGACGTCCTGGGGTCTCGGGGTTGGGTTTCTCGTGGAGGATTTCTCGTGCACTGGCCTCCCCTTGATTCTCGGGCCGGACGAAAGGGGGGGATTGGGAAAAGGGGGGGTACGAAATCTGCTGCATGCAGCTGGTTTCGGCCTCGCCGCCGTGCCCATTCCTCGATACATGGGCGCCTCCCGGCGCCGGGAGGCGCCGGGAAAATCAGCTACGTGAGCTGATTCTCAACCCCCCCCTTTGCTGTCCCTCCCTTTCGCCCGACCCGAGATTCGCCCCGGTCGCCCGCCTCCGCGAGGTCCATGATCAGCACGGCCAGCGCCGAGCACAGCAGCACGGAGGGGCGGCGCACCGCGCTGCTGAAGGGGGCCTCGGCCATGAGCATCCAGACCTGCGACGGCAGGAGCCGAAGAAGAAACACCTCCTCCTCCTCCTCCTTCTCTTGCTCCTCCTCCTCCTCTTCCTCCTCCACCTCCAAATCCTCCTTCTACTCCTTCACCTCTTCCTTCCTTCTCCTCTCCTTCCTGCTCCTCCTCCTCCTCCTCCTCTTCCTCCTCCACCTCCAAATCCTCCTTCTACTCCTTCACCTCTTCCTACCTTTTCCTCCTCCTTCTCTTGCTCCTCCTCCTCCTCCTCCTCTTCCTCCTCCACCTCCAAATCCTCCTTCTACTCCTTCACCTCTTCCTTCCTTCTCCTCTCCTTCCTGCTCCTCCTCCTCCTCCTCCTTCTCCTCATCCGCACCCATGTCTCATTGCACCGGCCTTTCAGACGTGCTGCGGCAGAGTTCTGCGTGTATGTCTGCGTGGATGTTTCCTGGATGGGGCGCCAGCCCAGGGTTTTTTTTTGTTTAAGTATTGTTGCCCCCGGTTTCGACTTGCTGGAGGCGGCGGAATTATTTTGCGATAAATGACGAGTTTGAAAACAGGCTGGCGGAATGATTTTTGAGGGGGTCTCAGGCGAAAAGCTTGTTTTTCAAAATTTGTTGAGGCTGTCTCGAGCGAAACGCTGGTTTTGCAGAGTTGGGGGATGTCTCGAGCGGGGGCCTTGTGGGGGGGCAGAATTCAAAGGATGTCTCAGGCGAAATGCTTGTTTTCACGTCCCGCTCGCAGGAATTCCGAGGATGTCAGTCTCACTCGTGCCGCGTCCCGCGCGCAGGAATTTTGAGGATGTCTCGACTCATCCGCTTGTTTTTCCAGGATTCCCTTGGCCACACATGGGGGGTATCTAACATGTTCTGACCGAGCTGGAACCACGTCGCTTCACGTGTCCAGGGCACCCAGGTGGGTATCTAACATGGTGGTCCCGCGCTGGAGCCACGTGTTTTCACGTGTACAGGCCACCCAGGTGGGTATCTAACATGTTGGTCCCGAGCTGGAACCACGTGTTTCACCTGTCGAGGCCACCCAGGGGGTGTCTAAGATGGTGGTCCCGCGCTGGATACACGTGTTTTCACGTGCCCAGGTCGCCCAGAGGGTGTATCTAACATGGTGGCCCCGCGCTGGAACCGCGTGTTTTCACGTGTCCACGCCACCCAGGGGGGTATCTAACATGGTGGTCCCAAGCTGGAACCGCGCGCTTTCACGTGTCCACGCCACCCAGGGGGTATCTAACATGGTGGTCCCGAGCTGGAACCACGTTTTCACGTGTCCAGGCCACTCAGAGGGTAACTAACATGGTGGTCACGCGCTGGAGCCACGTGTTTTCACGTGTACAGGCCACCCAGGGGGTATCTAACATGGTGGTCCCGAGCTGGAACCATGTGTTTTCACGTGTCCAGGCCACTCAGGTGGGATCTAACATGGTGGTCCCAAGCTGGAACCACGGTTTTCACGTGTCCACGCCACCCAGGGGGGTATCTAACATGGTGGTCCCAAGCTGGAACCGCGCGCTTTCACGTGTCCAGGCCACTCAGGAGGGTATCTAACATGGTGGTCCCAAGCTGGAACCACGTGTTTTCACGTGTCCAGGCCACTCAAGGGGTGTCTAACATGGGCCTCCTGGATCCTTCCTGGAACTCGGAACGGAACGTCGAGAGTTCATGTGTATTTGGTATCGATTCGCTTACTTTTTGGCCTCCAGGCGCCTCGGGCGTTCCTGGGCCCTCCTGCGCTCCAGACGACCGCATGTTAGATATCCTTCCTGGGTGGGCTGGACCGCGTGTTTTTACATGTGCAGGCCACCCAGGGGGGTATCTAACATGGTGGTCCCGAGCTGGAACCACGTGTTTTCACGTTTCCAGGCCACCCAGGGGGGTATCTAACATCGTTGTCCCGAGCTTGAACCACGTGTTTTTACGTATCCAGGCCACCCATAGGGGTAGTTGGCATGACTGTTCTGAGCAAGGACCATGTGTTATAACGAGTCCAGGCTAGTCAGGGGTATACATAGCATGGTTTCCCGAGCTGGCACCATGTGTTTCTAGTTGTCCAGGCCTTCCAGGGGGAGGTCTAACAAGGTTGCCCCGAGCGAGGACCGCGCATTTCGGCGTTCCGTGGCGCGTCCCCTCGGCGCGTCCCGCGGTCCCCGTGGTGCGTTCCTTGACACGTCGCCTGGCGCGTCCCCTGGGACGTTCCGCCTCCCGTCCTCCTGGCATGTTCCCCTGTCCATTAGCTCTGGGGCAGCTCTGGATGTCTCGCGCGTGCCGCGTCCCGCGCGCAGGAAGTTTGAGGATGTCTCGACTAATTCGTTTGTTTTGCCAGGGTTTCTTTGGATTTGGCAGAATGTCTCGAGCGAAACGCTTGTCCCCAGCACGTTCCGCAGCGCGTCCCCTTGGCACGTCCCGCGGTGCGACTCCATGGCACGTCCCTTGGCACGTCGCTTGGCGCGTCCCTTGAGACGTTCCGCGTCGAGTCCTCCTGGCATATCCCCCTGTCAATTAGCTCTGGGGCAGCTACTATGTGATCAGGCAGCTCGAGCTTAAGATCCAGATCAGTTCGGTCAGGACTCGGATGCAAAGGAGGACTCGATCCACGAGGCTATAGAGCACAATCGCGGCATGGCACATCGCAGTTCAGCACGGCGCTGCACAGCACAGCCCTTGGCACGGTACATCAAGATCGATACACTCAGCATCGCGTTTGCCCGTCGCCCAATCAGGTGTCTTTGAAACGTTGCCATGCCTTACATGTCTATATTCCTTTCCGGGTTCGTGGGTCGATCATGTTGCCCGAAGCGGCGAGCGAAACACGAAGTGCATTTCGCGTGAATTCTTTTTGGTCTCCATTCTTGGCCAAGAAAATCCGCACGGAATCCACCTCGAAATCCAGAACGAAATTCTCCAGGACACCCCGGGCCCACCCAATCGTTTTCTGAACGAAATCCGCTCTGCGATGTTGGCGCCATGACATGTCTCCTCGTTCACGGCAGAGGCCGTCGCGTTGACCATTGTTCAGGTCAGAGAGGGGAGGAGGAGGAGGAGGAGGAGGAGGAGGAGGAGGAGGAGGAGGAGGAGGAGGTAGAGGAGGAGAGCGGAGGAGGGAGGGGGAGGGGAGGAGGAGGGGGGACGGGAAGGAGGAGGAGGAGGAGGCGGAGGAGGGGGAGGGGAGGAGGAGGAGGAGGAGGAGGAGGAGGAGGAGGAGGAGGAGGAGCGTGCCCGCGCTTCCAGATCCCCCTGGCCGAGCCGGTCCGCCCAGCACCACTGTGCTCGGAGGCCCCGGAGAGGAAGCAAGAGCAGACAATGGCATACAGTGCCGTTTTTAATACATGCTCCGCGTGCGGATCACGTATTAAAAATGCAGGGATTTAGTTTTGAAAACATCGATGAGTTCATGTATAAATGATGTACTTCAAATCCGGTCGTTTTAAACATCCCATGTATAAAAAACTGCCCTGTAGACAGAATCTCTCGACGTTCCGCGGGGATTCCTTGGATCGTCGCTGGGCCCCGCTGGCGGCGATGCCGCCCCTGGCGCGCTCCGCGTGCCAGAAAGGGGGGTCCAGCGCGGATGCAAGAAATCTGCGCGGGCTCATGTGTGCGCAGCGGCTTCTTCCTCTGAGGATCTTCGAGGTTCTCGAGGAGCTGAAGAGCTCGCAGCCCCGGGTGGTGAACTCGCAGCCCATCATCGGGCTCCTCGCGGGGTCCCGCCTCGGCTCCACGCGGAACGGGGAGACGGTGGGCGAGGGCCTGTGGGAGCGGTCCATGGTTTCGCCGAGCTCCAAGAAGACGATTGCGCGGGAGGCGCTCGGGTCCCTGCTCCTGGTGCACGACTTTGTCATGGTGCCGTTCCACGTCTTTGGGCCCCTCCTCGGCGCCTGGGAGACGGCCATGTCGTGGATCGCCAGGAGAGTGTTGTTTTTATCCTCTTGGCCTGAAGTCGGGCCTGTCCCTCTACAGGGGGGATATCCAAAACTAGTTTAAACATAGTCTGGGGACGATTTTTTGTTTGACTATGTTTGAATAAGTTTGTGTGCATGTCGTGGTATTTTTTTTGTTCGCCTAAATCCGCCTGTAGGGGGACACGCCCGACCTAATCTTGGCCATGCCGCGCGTTATGCCCCTACCCTCCCCCCCTCCCCTCCCCCAGAACGTAACGGTCCTCCCTTCAGTGCGTCCCCGGCTCTGCCGCAGTGCGTCTGGCACCAGTCTGGGGGGGGGGGGCGCGCTACGTTATGTCCCCCCCCCCCTGCCCCCCCTAAGTAACGCCCGTCACGGCCGCGACTGAGAGGATGTGCTCCCTCAGGCTTTTCTGGACCCTGGACGTCCCCGCCTCCTTCTTCGCGGGCTACTTCAAGGTGCAGGGCAGCCCCGAGATGCGGCCCGGGGTCGTCGCGCGGCGCTACGCGCGGACGTGGCTGGCCTTCGACCTGCTGTGCCTCGCCCTGGACTGGACGAACTGCCTCGGGGGCGGCCGCCTGCCCGTCGCCCACGGCTTCCACCTGGGCCACCTCGGGCGCTTCCTGCGCGTGGCGCGCATCGCCCGGGCCGTGCAGAGCGCCAAGCTGTGGACGGACCGCCTCGTGCGCTCCGAGGAGGTTTTGGGGGCGGAAAAGAGGGGGGTGACGACTAGGGGGGGGGGGAGATATCATGGCGGGGGCCATGCTATTTCCTCAGATTTCATGGCGCCTCTTCTTGTTTCATTACGTCCCTGGCCCCCCCGCTGGGCCGCGCACACGCCGCTGGTCATGATTTGCACCCCCCCCTCTTGGACGCCCCCCCCTCTTGGCCGCTCCCGAGAGGTGCGCCTCGTGGGCAGCATCCTGTGGAGCGTGGTGCTGATGCTGGGCATGGCCCACTTCGTCGCGTGCGCGTGGTGCTCCGAGGCGGGAAACTTTCTGCAGGACCACCGCCCGGAGGGGGTCCGTTTTCGGAGCCCCGGCGGGCGGTGGAGATGGACATAATTCGTCGGGCCCCGGGGGCCGAGAGGTATCCGTATCCACCGCCCGCTGGGGCACCAGGGCGTCGGTTCCCAGGCGGTGGATATGGATAGATCCCCGCCTCGCAGGTACGCCAATGCGGCCGTAGGGGCGGAGGCGAGCTGGCTGCGCGAGAACGGCCTGAGGGACGCCACCGTCATGGACCACTACGCCTTCGCGCTGCACTGGTCCCTGGCGCAGTACCCCGGGGAGATGATCCTTGCCCCAGAAGGCTCCAGCCAGCGGATGTTCGCACTGGTCGTGGTCTTCCTCTTCTTCGTGGCGGCCGCCATGTTTGTGAGTAGAATCACCACGTCGATGACCCGGCTACACATCCTATCCAGCCATCAGTCGAAGCAGTTCGCTGAGCTCCACCGCTTCCTGATCGACCACCGCATCTCCCGCGAGCTCGCGATGAGGGTTCATAGAAACGCAGAGCACGCGCTTGCTATGCAGAAGCGCAACGCGCCGGACAGCAGCATCGAGCTGTTCCAGATGGTATCCTTGGACCTGCAGGTGGACGTCCACTACGAGGTGCACTCCCCCGTGCTGCTGCAGCACCCCTTCTTTCGAAACTTCATGGAGGTGAACTCCGCGGCCGTCCGGATGATCTGCCACACGGGCGCGTCGAATTTTATACAGTCCCCTGGGGACATCGTCTTCAGCAACGGGGAGACGCCGGTGCTGCCGAGGATGCTCTTCGTCGTTGAGGGCAGTCTCTACTACACGAGGCAGCGCGAGAGAAAGGATGTCAAGGAGGGGCAGTGGCTGTGCGAAGCGGTCCTGTGGACGAGATGGACCCACTGCGGTACGCTGATGGCTCGGAGCGACTGCCGCATGCTGTCCATAACCGCGCAAGCCTTCCACAAGGCGTGCGAAAAGTTCCCGTCCCTGCACCCTGGGGAGTACGCGGACCAGTTCGTGCACCACCTCAACGAGTACCTGGACGACCTGACGGACATGCGCCTCAGCGACGCCCAGGTGGAGAGCATGCTGGAGGCCGCCTTCCCCGAGTGGCAGGACGCCGCCTCGCCCGAGGCCCTGCGGCCCGACTCGCCCGGCTCGCAGGCCTCCCCCCTGGCGGGCCAGCAGCCCTCCGGGCCCGGCTGGGGCGCCTTCGCGCGCGCCGCGGCCGGCGGGCCCGGGCGCGCGGGCGCGGGCCGCAGGCCGCGCCGCGGCTCGCAGCTGAGCCTGGGCTCCTGCTCCCAGAAGTCCCTGCAGAGCCTGAGCAGCTCGGGCAGCGTCCGCAGCCTGCGCTCGGCCACGAGGCTGCCGCCGCCGCCGCCGTCGCCGCCGAGCGCGCCGGCCGAGGCGGGCGGCGCGGAGTTCAGCGCCATCGCCTGCGGCGCCCCGCCGCAGCCGCTGCCGCTCGCCTCCGACCTCGGCCTCTGCGCGCCCGGCGAGCCCGGCGCCGGGGAGTTCGCCGGCCTCCGCCTGGCGCTGCCGCACCAGTGCGGGGCCGAGGCGGCGGCGCCGCCCGGGCCCTGAGCGCGCCAGGGCCCCGAGCGCCGCGCGCTCGAGCCCGCCCCTCTGGCGGGGGGCTCCGCCTCGCGAGCTCAGCCGCAGGGGGGCGCTCGCCAGGTCCCCAGACCCCCTCGAGTAATGAAAAAATCATGACGGGAGGTTTTTCCTAATTTTCGGCCTCCGGGGGCCCTCACCGGGCCTCGGGAGCGTCAAAAAACGACTCAGGATGACAAACCGGTCCTGGGGAAGGGGTCGAGAACTCTGGGGTCGACGTAATGAAAAATTCATTACGTCGGGGGTTTGGGTCGCGGGCCGTGCCTGCGCGACGCGTGGCGTGCGCGTGATCTTGTGGCGGGGGCCCCGCGCGCGCGGTCCAGGCATGGCGCGCCCCGGGCCGCTTCGCGAGCATGCCGCGGCTGAGAGCTGCCGGGCTCTCCAGATGGGGCCCGAGCAGACGTGGTGGGGCGATCGCGCCGCATCGCCGATGCAACGGCGACGCGGCTCGACGTGGAGCCCGATGCTCTCCACGCCGACGTCGTTTCCGGCATCGCCGATGCATCGGTTATGCATCGACGAGGCGGCGCGATCCTCCGACCCCATCTGATCTCCCTTCTCATCGTTATCAGGCAGCTCTTGCAGCCTTGCAGCGCAGGTGTCTCGGCGGTCGTCGTCGATCACGACGACGTCGTCGTCCTCGGCGTGGTCGTCGTCGTCGTCGTCGTCGTCGCGCCCCATCTGAGAGGCCTCTAGCGTTGGGATTTTCCAGGTTCGGCCGAGCGGGAGCGTGGGGGAAAATCCACCGAGTGGCGGGGGCTCGCCGAGGCACGACCTGTGTCTCAACCGCTCTTTGGGGAGTTGGCATCACTCGGACGTGTGATTTCTTCCTCGGCGAGGAGCATGTTGGATCATCTTGCCGAAAATTTATGCACGAAGTCGACAAATGCACGGGGAATGAACGTCCGAGCGATGGCGAGGCGGGATATGTGGGGGGCAGTGGAGGGGGGATGTTGATCCGCTGTGGTCGTTCCAGGTGTTTGTTGCCCCCTTGTCAACGTCCAAACGACTCCAGCGCTGCATGTGCTTTTCACAGATATCGGAAACAGTTCATGTAGTCCGCACCAGGCATGTGTTTGCGGTTTTGGTGCGGACCCGCACGCCTTGATATTAGCCACGGGTAATGAATGTACTTAAATGTCTCACATGTTCTGCGCTCCTTGCCACGCCTTGGTGGCCATCTGTTTAGAATTCGAAGCACTATTGGAATGCATGCCCCTGGCGTGGCGGGGTATTTGGATAGGCTCCACTGTTGCATGGAGATGGGCGGTCTAGGATAGAGGGGTCGTTACCTCCGCTGGTGCATGCCAAGATTTTGCATGCCGTGTTGAGGGCGCGATGTTTGTTGTTTATGGCCCGCCTCTAAGGCACGAAGTAGTCAAGAGGCTTACGCTATTCCGCCGACCCCAGGAGTGGGATGAAGTCCACGGGTGAGACCTTTTGGGGCCCCTCTGGGGCCCTTTTGGGAGTTCCCTGGGCGCTTGCGTGCGGTGTCGAGGTCCTCTTGGGGTGTGGGGCTCGGAATGTCAGTTCGAGTTGCCTCTCTTAGGCCCTCTTGGGGCTCTGCTCGGGCTCTCTTGGTCCATCTTTGGCGCCTCGTAGGCCGTCTTGGGGTCCTCTTCGGCCGTCTTGGGACCCTCTTGGAGGCTTCTTGGGCCGTCCTGGAGCGATCTTTGGGGCCTCTTGAGCCGTCTGGCACGCTGTTACGACCAAACATGCGAACATGATCAAAACATACGTTTTCCCCATGGATGTTGACGATTCTTGCGTCTTGGGGCCCTCTTGGGCATTGTCTTGAAGCCCTCCTGGGGTGTCTTCTGGGCGTTGGTCTTGAGGCCAGCGTGGTCGTCTTTGAGGTTTCATCGTTGTGTTGGAGCCCAGCTTGAGTCAGCTTAGATGGCATCGTGGGCACCCTGGAGTCCACGGATTGTAGATTTGGAGGTTCCGGAGGCCCCCGGGGTGCGTTGACGAGCTCGCCCCCGAACCCCCCCTCCAGCCCCCCCCCCTCTAATCGGATTTCAGACCCCAGGGAAGGAGGAAAGGGGGAGGGGGACAGCCAATCATCTCACACGCCTATGCACCCCAGGAAAGCGTAGGTCGGCGGATTTAGTCTTGCGCTGCGCACTCTTGATAGTTTTCCGTCCAGCTTGGACACCGATCGGTTGCTGTCATTGCTCCTGAAACGGGAGGCGCTTGCTGTTTTCGGTTCACGTGTTCGTAGCGGGGACCCCCGAGTCCCTCCTCTTCTTCCCCCCGAGGTGTAAAAAAGGTTGCCAAATAACGTGGGTTACGAGGTCCATCAGGCATACAGGCGCGCGTAAGTGGATCCGTATCACCTCCCCCGCCCACCTTACCCTACCAGCTCATCCACTAGTCCTCCCCCTTCCGCTCCCTCCCACCTCGCCTTCCTTTTGTCGGCCTCATCGCCCCGCATGCGCTCCTTCCTCGACTCACTTCTCCTCCCGCTGCATTCCATTTGTCGTTGTCCTTTGCGTTCCTCGTGCACGTCAGCCTTGTCCTCATCGGCATCATCGTCGTCGCCCCCCTCCGCCCACATCCTCTTCGTCCTCCTTCTCATTACTCGTCCTCGCCCTTCTTCTCCCACTCCCCATCCGCTTCGCCAGGAACCATATCCCCCTGTTAATGTTTTTTTTTCCGCCAGCTGCTCCTGCTCTTCCTCTTCCTCCCTCCTTTGCTTTCTCCTCCCCCTCCCTGGGGCTAGGACTGATTGAGCCGAGTGGGCAAATGCAGCGCCTCGGATCGAGTACAAGGAACAGTTGCATGTCTGTTCGTTTCCCCTTCTTCCAAGCTCGCCTCGCGATGCGAATGTCAAAAACAAAAGGACTCCCGACCCGTGCCCCCCCGGCCACTCCCGAGAGGCCCTCGCGGCACGTCTGGGGAGAGGGGCGGGGGGTGTGCGGCGAGAGGGATGGAGTGTTATAATTAGGAGGAGGAGCAGGAGGAGGAGGAGGAGGAGGAGGAGGGAAGGAGTCGGCGTGCGGGGGAAACCCAAGATGAGGTTGACGAGGACGAGGAGGAGAGCAAGGATGAGGGGAGGAGGAGGAGGAAGAGGAGGAGGCTGCCTCACATTCCAGGGCCACGGAGGCCAATTGCACCAAGGCCCTAACCAAAACAACCAGCAGCTCCCCCAGCACGGAGCAGGGACTTTATAGCTCAACCAAGTTGCGGCAGCAGGTCCGAACAAGCAGCGCACACCACGCGAGATAAACGTGCGTTCATCGACAGCATACCAGTAGCATACCACAGCGACGTTTCGCTCGAAGACGATCCTGGAGCAACGCCACCTGAAGTTGGAATTTGGAAATCCTCAAAAACTGCTGCCTTGCGCAAGCTTGCAACTCAGATCCTGGCAGCGGAAAAGGCAGGCCAGGAGGCTAAACAACTTCGGTCTGAACTGGCAGTCATCAACAGGCAACTGCTTGACCAGAAGCCCGAAGCTGAAAATGTACAGTACATGCGACGATTCATCAATGACTACGCAGTATGCACACATTTTTCAGCATTAACACCCGAGCAAGCCCAGCAGAAACACGAATACACTATACACGACACCAAGACTTATGCTATCCTCTGGAGGGAACTTATCAACAACCGACAGCACACGCCCAGTCCACAGTCACGAACACAAGGCGTACAGCTCGGCTCCTACCCAAGGGACCGATCACCACACGAATCGCTCAACCCAAGCACCTGAACAGACTGAGAGACACAGAAGCTTAATGCACGATTAAAAACAGCTTACGGCCAGCCCAAAGCCAACGATTTGACCATTGCCGAGCTAAAGGCAACGCAACAAGACACCGACAAGAACAGCGTATCACAACAACAGTTGCAAGCAGCAGAAGGAAACATGCGACAACGACAAGAAGAAAACGACCACTTGTCCAACGACCTACCACGAGACAAGAGAACGCAACCAAGGTTTTCGACAAGCAGAGCTTCCAATGCAAGCGGCCAACGTAACCGCGACACGGCAAGAACAGGCAGGCAGCACGACGAAATTCCGAAGACACCGCAATTCAGAACGAGCACAGACAACAGCACTTAGGGGGTCTCACGGAACAAGCACTCCAATAGCACACATTTCAGAAGCCGACAGGCACACAGCGACCACGATGCTACGGCGCGCCGGGCACCAAGCATCGCGCAACGAGGCAGGGGCCATCATTGCCGAGCTCCGGCAAGCAATGAAAGAGAAATACAAACTACAACAAGAACAACGACTTCCGACCAGCGACAGCTACGCACACAGCATACAGAGAGCAGAACAGGCTACTGAAGAAAGATGCAGCACGCGACCCTGCAAATTCACCAGCACTGCAGACAACAACAAAAGGAGCAGGCACAACGTGATGGAACCTACATGACTACGGCAGAACAATAGATACACACACCAGAGCAAGGAGTAGCCCAGGAAGTTCGACAACCCAGGTGGTACGGTCAGCAACACCAGAGTCACGAAGTACAGTTCGCATCTTACGTAGCACAATGTGCACAAGCTCGAGCGGCCTGTGACCAAGAGGCTACTGCAGCACAGTTCAAGCTCTCCAACAAACAGAAAGCAACCTACTGACCAAATACAGCGACCAAGAAACAGCACACCTCATTATGGCAAGCGCCAGTGAGCAATGGCGAGTGACCAACCAGCACTACCAGCAGCGGCGGACTACAGCATAACAATATGAGCAAGGCATTGAAACGCACATTCAAAAATCAACACATCACGCTGCGCAGATACATCTTAGCATACGAATGGTCACAAATTGCACGTTGAGGGAGAAGCTGGACTAACGGCACTACTACATCAAGCAACAGCAGACTACGAGCGGAAGCCGCAATACCTACTTGAGGGCATGGTCAGTCAGTTCCAGATCGACCGGTACGCCGAGGGAGCGGCTTCGATCGAAGAAGGAGTCGGAGAAGGACATTGGCGACAACAACAATTACAATAACATACCGAAGATGACGTACACCGTTTAGGAGACGCTTTGGTACGCTTCATCGGTGACGATCTCGGCGACGCCCACGACAAGTCGGACGATGCTACAGCATCGCGCAGCATTGCGCGCATGCCA